ATTTTAAGAAGTAACCTAGTAAATAAACATTGATTTTAAAGGGTTTCATTTTTATATTGTTTATTCTTTAGGCTCTGGTGACATGGATGGAATGAACAAGGTAAATATTACCTTGAGAGCTTTTACATTTCAAGCTTAATCGGTTTTATACTTATCATATTGCGAACTGTTGTTTCCAGAATTCTCCAAACAATTTAAGTGGCATTAGCAATCCTCCTGGGACCCCGAGGGACGACGGGGAGCTGAGCGGAAACTTCCTCCACTCCTTTCAGAGCGAGAACGTAAGTTTCCTCAGCTAACATCACTGGACGGTGGGTGACTGTACTTTGATGGACACAGAAGTAGAGCACATAGAAAAGCCTCACATTCACATCCCTGACTACAGTAGGGGAAAGGTGTGTGTGTGTGTGTGTGTGTTAATGCTCTTTTATGTGCCTCTCCAGTACTCTCCGACCATGACGATGAGTGTGTGACCCCCCCTCCGCCCCGCCCGACATGATATGCCATCATTCCGAGGATCTGAACTCACTATAGGACACGGCCAAACACATCAGCACCGAATCAGGGACAGGCGCCATTTTGGTTCCACACTAACGCCAGAATGCTGATCGGGGAGAAAAATCTAAACGGCTGCTGCTCCTTGCTCAAAAACGAAGGACAATATTTCCATTTATCACAATCCCAAGTGTGACGAAACCAGCTACTGAAATGCATACATGACACGTTTTACGTTCTTTGCAGAGCCCCCCTCCCCATGACCCTCCTCCCCCTCCTTCAGCAAAGAGAAAAATATGTTTGGGGTTTTACCTCTTGTACTTTTTAATTATTGCTTTGTGGTGCAAGATGTGCAGGAAAATGTCTCCGCTTTTTTGTCCCTTAAAACACTGGAGAGTGTGCATATGCATTGTGAGCTTGGAAAGTCTTTGTCTTGTCCTTTTACTTCTCGCCATGCAAACTGTCACAAGTCAGCTGACATAGGACTCTTGCCTTTTACTCTTGTGGCCACCTTTATAGATAAATGTACCATCCTTCCCAACGCCCACCCTTCTATTTAAAGAGGTTTGTAAAAAGGGGGGGAAAGACTTGAAAGATTATGGCTTTTATTGTGACGACCTTTCACGGTATGTAAGTGCTCAGATGGTTCTTACTATATGTCAAATGGATCCCATTTGATCAATTCCAGTCTCTTATTGCTGACAGCGATGCGATCTTGGCTCATTTAATTTAAACGCCTAGATCGCTGTGCAAGGGAAACCAGACTTCGGCATAAGAAGTGAGTGCATGAATGCTGAGAATCTGTGTACAACATACTACCTAGTGCTCTTCTCTCTGTGGACACCTGCTTTAAGATGTGGTGTGTATCTCTTTACCTGTCTGTGCTTAACGCTCTGTGCTCCTCATCATCGTAGCCTTCTGTGTTTTCTCCAGTTTTGGGTGATTATGATGCTATGAATGAGCGGCCCCATTTTAATCTCATACATATTGGTTGTCCCTCCTGTATCGTTGGTCGTCCCCCGTTTTGCCCGCCCACACATTTTTTTATATTTTGATACAATCTTTGACTACATATATTGCCCCAGTTATTCAGTTAGTCAAAGCTTTCTAAAACCGATTCTAGTAGGCATCATTATAAACTTTAGCAGCAGTCTTGTAAATGTGATGAGAATTTGTTTTCCTTTTTTTTTTTTTTTGTGAACATTACGCATTATATACATCTGTCCTATGTTGCCTTTATTTGCTGATATTTTTTTATTTCAAATTGAGGAAAGATTGCTTGTTAATATAATTTTACAATAACTTAACTACGTGTGTCGGTTGTTTTTATTTTGTACTTGAATGTGAAGTGAATCCATATCATTTTAGAGTTACTAGAATATGCCACTGAAGATGTGGACATGAAGTTATTTAAGTTACACATATACTTAGTATTAAACTAGTGCATCCAAATGAAAAGAGGGATATATCCCGCTTGCACATCAGTCTGAAGAGAATAGCTTATTGCTGTTATGTGTGGGAGATTACAGGTGTAGGACAGAGCCATCAAGATTTTCGGGGATGAGTTGGCTTTCTAACTTCTTGTCATCCATTTTCTGAATCAAGGCCAGACTTAATTTCTTCATGGTCTAACATACATGCTTTATGCAAGGGTTCACTCTCTGGATTCTCCCCTGAGTAAGTTAGATGGAGTTAGTTTCGTTAGTTTAAGATCTAAATCGAAACAAACAAGTTGCTCAAATGATTGTTAGAAAGAGAAGTTATAAATTATTTTCACAAGTTAAAAGGACAGGAAAAAAAACACTGGTTATGCTTACTTTCAAAAAAACGTTACACTGTTTGGTAGTATAAGTGAGAGTGTTGAGAAGCCCGACAACCCATTACCATCGAGGCATTGTTAATTGGGTGGAGGATTCATTTAGGAGCTGTCTTACTTTTGTTAAGATAAGATATGTTATCTCCACCTGCTGGAGAAAGCTGTGGGATACAGCTCGAAGGTTGGGCACTAAATAGATACAACTTGAGCTTAGAGTCCATGCTCAAGTTCTATTGTTGAGATCATATGTGTGCTTTCTGGAACTTATTATCTTTTAGGCCAATTTTGCCGTTTTTAATACTTTTTTAAATATTCAATATTATCAGGAAAACCAATCTAAAAGGCAAAAATAAGCCCTTCCTTCAGCACAAGGCATCTGAAAAGCCTTTCAAACGCTTCATAGTAGTCCTAAGATGATGCATCTGTTTAATACGTTGGTCAGTGAAATAATGACATCTCATCATAGTTTGGTAAATCAGAATCAAAGATAGTAAAAAACAAAAAAAAGTGAATATGTTTTTTGTTGGAATTTGAAGATGATACAATTTCCGCCAGATGGGTCTCTCTCTGAGCCAAAATGAAAAACAGCTTCATATGTTGCTCTCCTGTTGGAGTAAAGGTGGCTCCACACTGCCCTCTGGTGGGCACAGAGGACCCTCCTGCTGAGACCTCTGGCCTACAGACAATATTTCCACTCCCTCAAAGCTACTGAACACACGGTTCATTCTGGCTTTTGATTAACCTAAAGATTTAGACGTGGATCCTAACAAAAGCTCCATGTTTCGGGAGGATCGGACCGCGTTCTGGCTCTGGTCTAACAACAGGAAGTGAGGCTAAACTGCTCTCACGGGATATGGCCAAAGCTTCCCTTTGACTTTAGAGCCAGAGGTTATAAAAGCTGCAGCAACACAAATACTGTGTTGTAATGTTGACTAATAATAACCATAATAAAAATCATAACAATTTGTAACCATGAGCTATGATCCTTTTATTTGCTGTAGTCTTTCTTGATTTGTGTCACATGATCCTTTTGTGCTTTATGTATTAAGATATTACTGTTTTCAAAGGGGTTTATTTTCACAGTCACTTTAGTCACACTGATCAGACGAGTCAAGGCCAACATCTGGAACTCCCTTCCACAACACATCAGAGACTGCACCGACCCCCCCACCTTCAAAACACTGACCAAAACACACCTCTTCAGACTGGCTTTTAATATGTGAATTATGTTGTGTTGCTGTTTTTATATTGGTATTCTATTATATCTCGTTTTATCACCACTGTAAAGTGTCTTTGAGCACCAGAAAAAGCATTCATTATGAAAAATAAAACAGGAAAACATTTTAAACTGTAGCCACATGTATATACAGGTTATTAATGTTTGTGAAGAGAAGGGGAGGCAAAAGCAACAACAACGACAATAGGAAAGCCAATATAAACACATTATAAAAACACTGTTAAAAAGTAGTGAATTTGATTCTTCTTACCTTGTGGTAGATACAACTATATTTGACAGTTGCATCTTCAGCATTTTCCAAAATCAAAACCATTGCTTCTTCACCATTAACATCAATAATACTTCTGCCTTGAAATAAAACTCACATCGGATTAATGGTTAATGTTGTAGTGGCCTTTTGAATAATTGTAGACACACTGGTAGCCAAAATACTTATTGTGCGAAGACTAGAAAGTTAGGTATTAACCCATATCAGCACCTATATTACAATTCAACTATGTGTGTGTGTGTGTGCATTGGATTTGTTGAAGTCAGCATGACTTGCCACATACGGTTCATTAGGTTTACCATTTATCACTTCCAGACAAGAGCAAACAAAAGTTAGTGTCATGCTGTGTCACACAGCTGTGTGTGTGCAAACATTACAGACCTGCAGCCAATGTCTTCTCAAAAAACATAGAACTTTGCAGATCATCTTATTTTCATGGATCGGGGGGGAATTGCAGAGTCAACACCACTCAGGGACAAGACTATGCAACAACAGATGTGTCTCAAACATTGGCTTACACTCAGAGCTGATGTTTTTCATTGTTGGAGCATTAAACCCTCTAAAAAGCACTGTGCTTTTTAGGGGGTTTTCTTTCCTGTAGTGTGTTCAATGGGTTTGTGTGCATGTAAATGGTCTGCAAAGGCCAAAATCACAGTTCCCTCCAGAGGGAGTTTCTCTCCCTAACACCCCTCCCCCGCCTTTCCTTTGTTTACTTCCTAAACATAGTGACATCACTGTGTAACACTTGCACTTCCCTTGGCTAGCAGTCTAACACATTGTGTTGATAGGCTATGGGGCGAGACATCCCTAAGTTGTTGACCAATCACAACAGAGCCGGCCAGCTAACCAATCAGAGTAGACTGGGCTCTGGTTTCAGACGGAGGGTGAAAAGGGGTGCTGCAGCACAGGCAGTATGAGAAAAATAAAGAGTTTTTGAAGATTAAAGCATGTAAACATGTCACAGCAGAGGCACAACATACAAATATGAACCTGAAAATCAGCAGAATAGGGTAACTTTGAACATCAATGTTTTTGCTAGTTATTTCCAAACAGCTATGTTGACTTGCATTAAATGAAGGAATATGGAAACTTTAAAAATTATTATTAGTGTCAGGACTGAGAAAAAAACAAGTCATTGATGAACTGCACAAAATGATAGGTCATATGCTTATAAATTGACAACATGAGTCTTTACATTTTGTTCTTTATTATACCATAGTGAAAACAATGGATCCAAAAATATTCAAAACAACATGCAGACTGTTTAACAAGATGAATATTTTGTTTTTAAAGTGTAATCGAGAATGCTCCTACATAATTCAGAGAAGGCCTCTTTTCGAGTCATCACTCATCAGATTACAGTCACCAGAGGTTTGCACTGCAACCATCATATATAAAGTAGACTCCTGTGAAACCACATAGGAGCATTCAGACATAACAAACCAACTTTATTTTATTTTGGTTCTTTTTATAATGCTTTTTTGTTATTGCCGATTTTCTGGGTTTTTAACATGTTTTTTAACACTGTTGTGAAGCAATGTTTTGAAAGTTTATATACAGATAGAAATCTATGAACAGAAAATATGATCTGCAAGAGAAGTGGGAACAAATTTGGTTTTTGACATAGACGGTAAGGCCTTTTAAACTTTAGAATAAGACAACTTTGGGGACATCTCCTGAACATTGTGCGATACCTCAAACACAAACTCTTGACTGAACTGTCTCTGTGTGTGTTTCACTCCATCGGGCTGCAGAGGCCAACGGTTTAATCTGCAGCCGTCACTAAGAAACACTGAGAGGCGAATTCAAACTCACAGATTGGCAGTATAGGTATGTTTACAGAGTACAATACTAGTGCACGTTTGCAGGGGTTACAATGTCTCTTCTCATATGTAATGTAAGAGATGCTAGAGAGCAGTTAGAGCCACAAGCTGATGTAGCAGTGTAATCATTATAGTCTTGATTAATAAGTAATGTATTGTATATCAGTTATGTTGGTTATAATGTTATACCCCTATTCAAATGAGAAATCCGAGACCCTTACATATCATTCTGGTCGGATTGTCTTATTTTATTTTCTCCAGGAACCCACGCAACTCCATTGGATTGTAGTCCCAAGGCCCTCTGCCCCCCTAGAGAAACACAGATAAATAAATGTTACGCATAAGAAAAGAACATGTTCCTTTATATATATCTATAACACTTTCAGAAAGAACACGCAATAACATCCATGACATTTGATAAAATGTAATTGTACACTTCTGACTTGGCAAACATAAACCAGGCACCATGCCCAGAATTGGATTGTGTCTATGTATCAATGCTCCTCCTTATGCGTGAGAACATGTTGCATGCTGCAATGATTTTAATTCACGTGATCGTGTGAAAGGAGCCCTAGAGTCTAGACACGGTCATTTAGAGGCATTATGTGCTCGTAGGGTAGTGTGCAGTGAAAGAACATTTACTTGGAAACTCTCCAATCATTATACATAAAATAAAAGTATAAACATTTGCTTTTGTTTGAGAGACCTCACCTTGTAGACAACTTTCCCAGCCTGCAGCACGTAGAGCCTCTCAGGCAGAGCACCGTACTTTATGGCAGCAGAATTGTCCATTTCATCCACAACCACCGTACAAAGGGGCTGCTTTTGGAGCAGGATCTGTGCCGCGGACAGCCTGTCCTCCAGGCTCTTGTGCTTCTTGATGTCGATGTTGTTTTTAAATGACCAACCGTCTGACACAGAGAATAGAAATGTGATTTTAACTGTACACTGAAGCACAACTTCCAATTTATGGATGACATAAAAAAAGTAGTTTTATGGATGTTGCATAAGTGCATTGCAGCATTTTATTGTAGTGAATGCAGCCCAGATTATGTCAGTGTTGCTGCCAGAACTCAATGCACAGCACCACCAAAAGGGCTGAACTCAAAGACCCAATGTTCAAGTGCTCTGGAAGAACATAGAATGCAATCAAAAGAAGACTCAACATAAGAGTTTTTAATGTATTCAATCACAATAGTTAAGGGACGTTATCATGCAAAACAAATATTTTTGCTGCATTTAATTTTTTTTTACAAAGTAGGGTTAGGGTGTTAAAGGACATTAATAAATATAGATGATTAAGTTCTTTCCGTAACAAACAAGTATTATAATAAGGCACACATGCATCTTTATCTTGTCTTATTTTCTTAATTGTGCTTTATTATTGTCCAATGTGCACTTTATTTCTTTGTTGACCTTACCTTTACTCTGTATGCATAGTTCCTCCATCAATACATTCATGGTGATAAAACAATGACTTGACTTGGCACTCGTGCTGCCTTCACTTACCTGTTGAATGCGCCTCCTCGATGTAGATCACAAGAAAGTCGGCTACATCGCTGAAGTCCTTGACGAGTTGCTTGAACTCCTCAAGTTTGTACATAAACGGGGGTCAGGTGCAACTTCCGAAATTCAACACCAGCATTCTGTTGTCTGCAGAGAAAAAACACAGCTCCACATTTAGCAGCATGGAGAAATATAATCAGACAATAACACCACATCTCACCACGTACCTTTCACGAACCGGCTGATTCTTGATTTCGTTCCCTCCATGCTGACCACATCTGTGTCCGGAGCTTCTCCTCCCACAAACGCCTCTTGTCCGAGGGACAGCCACATGTGATGAGAGGCAGTTTTGAAGAACATGAAGGTGCCAAACGTCGGACCCCAATCTTCAAACTTAAAACTAGGATTCTGGGTCATGGTGGCTCTTTCACCCAGTTTGAGGATCAGCTTCTTGGCGAGACGTGGTGATACGTACAGCATAATGCCCAGTATGATATTGACTCCCACCATGAAGCAAAATATGCATGCTGTCGTGAAATAAACCATTAACCTGTCCGGAGACATTGTTCCTCCTTGGTGGTGGACTCCTGTGTTTGCACTGTAGTCTTTGGTTTGCACAGAGCCTGAGCCTGTTGTGAACCAGACATATGATGTGGGTTAACGCCCACTCGGATAACGTTCGATCACAGATGCATTCATGGCCTCTTTTAAGAACATGTACTTTCTAGATCCGAAGTAGGCCTACAAAATACGTTGGAGAATCACTGAACACTCGAAAACATTCGAAATGTTATAATATTTTTTTGTTAACAAAAGTGCATTTGTTTAATATGGAGTTATAATGAATAATACGCATAGTAATAAGACGTTACCCATTGAAGCTAGCAGCAGAGTGTGAGGGTGTCACTGCCAGCACTAATTAGCAGTTAATTTCTTTCAAAATGGCGCTAGCCAGCTAACGTGTTAGCAAACAACTGTTTAGCTTCTTAAATTCGTCATTGATATTTTGGAGACAATGAGCAACATGGACGGGTCCTCTTTCTCCCGACATGGCGAAAGTAAGTGTGATTTAAATACAAAGGTTTTTTCTACATTACATAAAATGCTTCTTAGCAAGCTAACGTCAAACGTTTTTCCACCACCAAGTGTAGTTAACGTTAGCTCTTTGATTAGTCAATAGCTAGCTACTTTTCTTCTGCTTTTTAATACATTAGGCTGCAGAACAGCATTTTTTCACCCTAACAATACCATTCCCACCCCCATACTGCTCCAGATTAACCAGCTCCCTGGGTTTATCACAGGAAATAACAATGTAAAGCCTAATTAATTATGAACATTGACCCAATTTTGCATGTTATTCTTTTTTTTTTAATGATTTACTTTTAAGCAGACCAAGGTCTTGTTTTACTAATCCATAATTTTGCTCAGTAACTATTTGCAGGAAGTCAAGTAGACTAATGATCCAACATGGATAACACACACAACAAATCATGCATTTGAAATTAATGCTGCTCACAAAAAACCCCAGCAAACTTTCATCAAGATTCATTTAAGTCTTTGAAAAGTGTTGTATCAACATATCAAATCATGCTTTTTAATACATTAGGTGAATTACTGGTGATGTTCTATAAATAACATGTTAATTGGGTTTTTTCAACTAAAACCAAGTTAATTAAAATAGACAATGTACAACGTTTTAATCTTATTCAAATTGCACCTGCCTAGTCTTCATGGGTCATTATTACCAATCATTTGTTTGAAAGAATAAATCTCCGCCATATAAATATATTTATTTAAAACTGCCTGATTTCTTTCTTTAATGTTATTTTTGCCTCAATATATTGAGGCATATATCTGTTTGAGACACACGTTTTTGCACAGTCACTGTGATTGTCGATAAAGTCACTGTGAATGAGTGATACCAAGGATGCTCAACTTTTGCCTACAGGGTAATTTCAGTTTTGTTATCTGGCGTAAGATGTCAAAAACCTTTGACCACGTTACCCTCTTAAGTGCTCCTTTGTTACGGCCCGTCCACACTACAGCTTCAAAAAAAGCTTGCCGGCGGGCGTGTCTGAAGCTCGACCAACAACCAATCACATGAATCTCCCGCCCCTGACACACAAGCAGCGGTTTGATTGGCTAGAGCTTGTACTGGCATATGATTTGATTGGCTGACGCTTCCACCGAAAGCTTCAGAAGCTTCAAAAGTTGAACATTGCTCAACTTTTGCAGCCTGAAACGCCATGAAAGCTCCGCTCTGCTACCCACAATTCAGTTCGGCGAAAAGCGAGGCAACGTGACGTCACCCCATTCAAAGTGAATGGGCAGACGCGTTGGAAACCGTTTTTGAAGCTGTCGAAGCTGTAGTGTGGACCCTGCACAACATCGGACTTGGCAGAGTTTAATGAGAAGGGACAGCAATGTGTTCAGCTGTGGCTGAACCACATCTAACCAAGCCCTGTAACTGACTGCCTTGTGGACACGATAAGAAGAAGAAGTGTGGACTTTGAATGGGATGACGTCACGTTGCCTCGCTTTTGCGCCGAACTGAATTTTGGGTAGCAGAGCGGAGCTTTCCTGGCGTTTCAGGCTGCAAAAGTTGAGCAATGTTCAACTTTTGAAGCTTCTGAAGCTTTTGGTGGAAGCTCTAGCCAATCAAACTGCTGCTTGTGTGTCAGGGGCGGGAGATTCATGTGATTGGTTTTTGGTCGAGCTTCAGAAACGCCCGCCGGCAAGCTTTTTTTGAAGCTGTAGTGTGGACGGGCCGTCACTGTTGCATTTAAAGCCTGTGTCTAGCATACTTCATGTAGTGTTTTTTAAATGTTTTTTACAAATTAAAATGTGAAGTACAACTAAAGATTGTATGTGTTTGAGCCTTCAGGGATAGGCCAGTCCATTTCTCCT